CTATGAATATTATTTCACATAATAATGTTTTTTTTTGTTTGTTTTGTTTTTAAATATATTTTATTGATTTTTTACAGAGAGGAAGGGAGAGAGATAGAGAGCTAGAAACATCGATGAGAGAGAATCGTCGATCAGCTGCCTCCTGCACATCTCCCACTGGGGATATGCCCGCAACCCAGGTACATGCCCTTGACCGGAATCGAACCTGGGACCTCTCAGTCCGCAGGCCGACGCTGTATCCACTGAGCCAAACCGGTTTCGGCTCACATAATAATGTTTTAACCCAAAGGAGGCAAGAGGGAGTTTGCAATTATAGTGACTGGCAAGAGAGAAGGAATATTCTGTCTTGATGGGGACAGAATATTATGGCGTGACAGGCAAACAAATGGAGGATATGTTCCTCCAGCTGCTTTGGCCTCAGTGGATAGAGCGTCGGCCTGCGGATTAAAGGGTCCCGGGTTCGATTCCCGTCAAGGCACATGCCCGGGTGGCGGGCTTGATTCCCAGTAGGGGGCGTGCAGGAGGCAGCTGAGCAATGATTCTCTCTCATCATTGATGTTTCTGTCTCTCTCTGTTCCTCTCCCTTCCTCTCTGAAATTTAAAATTTTTTTTTCTAAAACACACACTCACACGCGCTCGCGAGCACACACACACACACACACACACACACACACACACACACACACACAATAGCCATATTAAAAGCTGCAGCCTTCGTCAGGGCACTCATGGTTACAGAAGATAAACCTAGCATTTAATGAAACTTAGCGCCTAGAGTTGCTTACTGTGTTTTGAGTACGCTGGTCAGTGTGTGCTCCCTTCTCCGGACAGGATCCTAGCGATCTACCCACCAAGGCACACCATCCTTGCCCTGCTCATTCTCAGGTCACCTGTTCTGTCCCTGTACACTCCACAGATCTATCCGTCTGACTGCTCCTTGCATATACATCTAGAGCAGCGGTTCTCTACCTGTGGGTCGCGACCCCTTTGGCGGTCGAACGACCCCTTCATAGGGGTCGCCTAAGACCATCCTGCATATCAGATATTGACATGACGATTCATCACAGGAGCAACATGACAGTGATGAAGTAGCCACGAAAATAATTTTATGGTTGGGTCACCACATGAGGAACTGTATTTAAAGGGCCAGAAGGTTGAGAACCACTGATCTAGAGTGTGCAGCCTTTCATAAGAACACAAACACAACTTTTCTCAGAAGGATTAAAGAACGGGAAATGAGACCCCTGGCCGGTTTGGCTCAGTAGATAGAGAGCCTCGGCCTGCAGACTGAAGGGTCCTGGGTTTGATTCCCATCAAGGGCACATGCCTGGGTTTCGGGCTTGATCCCCAGAGGGGGGCGTGCAGGAGGCAGCCAATCAAGGATTCTCTCCCATCATTAATGTTTCTATCTCTCTCTCTCCCTTCCTCTCTGAAATCAATAAAAATATATTTTTTTAAAAAAAGAATGGGAAACAAGCGTGTGAGGAGGGGAAGACGAGAGAGCGAGCCATGGACTGGAGGCTAGAGAGAGAAGTGGGGGCCGACTTCCACTTTATTCTCCTGGGAGAGACTTACTGGGTGCACTTCCCTGCCCAGCGGCGAGTTCTGCTTTCACTTCCTCTCCACGACAGAAACAGGCATGGTGAAGGGCCCTTGTATTTAATTCCTGGATCAGTCAATTAGGTTTGAATTGACACAACAGAGAACTGTGTCTTTCCCTTCAGAGAATGGGCAGTGTGCGGCCCTCTGTGTTTCTATTTTTGCCTCTGGGAAGCTTGGAGTCAAAAGTTCACAGCTATACTATCAGCCTTCATGGCTTGCAAGATTGGGGCTCTTGAAAAAAAAAACCAAACCCACAAAAACCAATCAAACAACTTTATTGCCTGAATGCCTTGTATTTTATTGTTGTTGTTAATTCTCACCGAGGATATTTTTCCATTGATTTTTATTTTATTTTTATTTTTTTATTATTATTATTTTTTAATATATTTTATTGATTTTTTTACAGAGAGGAAGGGAGAGAGATAGAGAGTTAGAAACATCGATGAGAGAGAAACATCGACCAGCTGCCTCCTGCACATCTCCTAAAGGGGATATGCCCGCAATCCAGGTACATGCCCTTGACCGGAATCGAACCCGGGACCTTTCAGTCCGCAGGCCGACGCTCTATCCACTGAGCCAAACCGGTTTCGGCATGATTCTCAGAGAGAGTGGAAGGGAGGGAAGGAGAGACGGAGAGAAACATCGATGTGAGAGAGACACATCGATGGGTTGCTTCCTGCACGCACCCCGACCAGGGCTGGGGAACTTCCAACAAGGTGGTGCCCTTGGCTGGAATTGAACCCGGGACCTGGGACCCTTCAGTCCATGAGCTGACGTTCTATCCACGGAGCCAAACCAGCTAGGGCTAAATGCCTTGTAGGTTGAGTCATATTCAACCCTTTTCAAGCGAGTAGGAACTTAGTAATTACCGATCTGTACAGAGCAGAACTCCAGAGAGGCCTCAGCCCCCTGGGCAATGAGTGAGTCACGCGGCCGACTCTGTCGTGTGTCCACCCACCATTTCTACGGTGCCCAACCTGGTGCTTCGCTGCTGGTTGGCTGTGGCATCCGGGGTAGAGTGACTTAACATCAGACCACCTGAATTCAAATTCACCCTCTTTCTCTTCTTAGCCCTTTGACATTGGGCGAATCCTCTCATCTCTTTGAGCTCCCATTTCTTCACCCACAGGGAGCTGTTGTGAGGATCAAAGGAGATCATGTCGGTGGAATTACTTTGTTATTTATTTATTTATCCTCACCCGAGGATATTTTTTCATTAATTTTTGTTTGTTTGTTTTTTAGAGAGCAGGAGAGAGAGAGAGAGAGAGAGAGAGAGACATGTGAGAGAAACACATATACAGTGGGGCCTTGACTTACGAGTGTCCGGACTAACGAGTTTTTCGAGATATGAGCCGTCTCTCGGCCGATTTTTTGCTTTGAGTTGCGAGCTAAAATTCGGGTTACGAGCCAGCTTCAGATACCCCACCGATAGTTGGCGCAGCGAACGTCACAGTGAACGCCACAGTGAACGCCACAACATCAGCCCAGCATCACGTGTCTCACTTGTTCACTTTGTGATTTGACATACGAGTAATTCGAGTTACGAGCTCCGTCACAGAACGAATTAAACCCGTAAGTCAAGGCCCCACTGTATTGTCTGCCTCCTGCATGCCCCCGACCAGGTCCAGGCTGGGAGAAGCCTGCAACCAAGGTCCATGTCCTTGACCGGAATCGAAACTGGGACCCTGTGGTCCACAGGCCGATGCTCTATCCACTGAGCCAAAACGGCTGGGACTAGAATTCCTTTATAATCTGCCGAGTACTGGACTGTTGCAGAACGTGGTCCTATTCACTGGATTGGTGAGCTCCCCAGAACCCTGGGAGGGCCCATGTCAATCAGTCTTCTCAACTCTCAAGTATGCTGATCACTCATATTTTCAACAGTTAATAGAAGCTGTTGTCCACAAAATAAGGTAATCTCCCATGTGTGTGCTGCAGTACTTCAGCGCTTTGCTGTGGTCCCTTGCAGACTCTGAGGGAGCAGCTTTCAGGGGTGGGATGTTGGATGCTTCTGCCACTGAGTTCACACGTCCATGGGCTGCTCTGCTGGTGGCAATGCTGACCAACCCCTCTCAGGTGGGCGTCCCTTGACCATTCTCTCTGACTCTGCCCTCCTCCTGGGACCTTGAATTCGTTTCCTTGACATTGAGCCACATCTCTGGGCAGATGGTCCCCAAATCTGGGTGTGCAGCCGGGGCCTCTCTGGATGCCACAGGGCACGTGCCCCGCCTGGGAATCAAACCGTGACCTCCTGGTTCATAGGTCGAAGCTCAACCACTGAGCTATGCGGCTGGGCAACTCGCACTTGAATCTTTTAAGTCAAAGCATTGCTCCCCTTCAATCACTTTCAATCCCCAAACTGGGAATTGCCGACGACAGGAGAGTGAGTGGTACAGGGTAAGTGCTTTGACTCGTGAATCCACAATCACACTGACCTGGGTCATCCCCATTTGATAGAGAAAGGAAAAGACACAGAGATCTGAAGTAATTTGACGGAGGTCAACAGCTGGGGAGTGAGCACCCAGGGTTTAAAACGGGATAGGGACCTAGATGGTTTGGCTCAGTGGATGGAGCAGTGACCTGTGGGTCCAAGGGTCCCAGGTTCGATTCCTGTCAAGGGCACATGCTCGGGTTTTGGGATCAATCCCAGGGGGTGGGGGTGGGGGGAGCTTAGAGGAGGCAGCCGATCAATGATTCTCTCTTATCATAGATGTTTCTATCTTCTCTCTCTCTCTCTCTCTCTCTCTCTCTCTCTCTCTCCCCCTTCCTCTGAAATCTTAAAAAAAAAAAGCCCTAACCGGTTTGGCTCAGTGGATAGAGCATCGGCCTGCGGACTGAAGGGTCCCAGGTTCGATTCCGGTCAAGCGCATGTACCTTGGTTGCGGGCACATCCCCAGTAGGGAGTGCGCAGGAGGCAGCTGATGGATGTTTCTCTCTCATGGTTGTTTCTAACTCTCTATCCCTCTCCCTTCTCTCTGTAAAAAAATCAATAAAATATATTTTTAAAAAATAAAATAAAAATAAAACGGAATTAGGACTCTACGCAGGAGCTGTGCTTGCTGCCTGCGGATGGCTGCTCCGTGGAGAGGTTCCCAGGTTTCGGGGTCATCAGTCCCTTCCTGACTCTGGGCGAGGGTTCCCCAAGTGGATGCTCTGTGGGCCCGCCCCGCACGGGCCCCGCCCCAGTTCTGGCTCCGCCCCCGGCTGGTGCGCCTCTCAGCCGCCAGACTCCAGGCGGCGCCGCGCCTCCCCGCAGAGCGCACGTGCCCCGCGGGCACCTGTCCCCGGGCAGGGCGCTGTCGCCGCCCCTCGGCGGGCCTGGCGCTCTCGTCCGAGCCCGGTCCCAGGGCTGGAGGACCGCGAGGGCGCCACCTGAGTCTGCGCGGCCGCCCTGCGCACGGAGCGGAGCGGGCGGGCGGAGGGGGCGCTGTGATCGCGGGGCAGGTCGCTGGGCGCTCGGAGGGCTCCCGCCGGAAGCAGGGGCGGAGCGGCCGCGCGAAATGTGGTGAAGGGCGAGCGGCGGGTGGCGGCGATGAGTGCGACTGCGGCCACCGGGGTCTTCGTGCTGTCCCTCTCGGCCATCCCGGTCACCTATGTCTTCAACCACCTGGCGGCCCAGCACCAGTGAGTGGGCGCACGGGGGTGGGGCTGGAGGATGTGCGGCTGGAGCGCGGCAACTTTGCAGATGGGGTCATGGGTCGCTGGCCTCCAGGGCTCCAGGGAAGTGGAGGGCGGAGAGGGGTGAGGAGGGGAAAGGAGGCGCCCGGGAGATACCGACCAGGGTCCTGGCTCAGGCTGGCATCCTTGCCATTTGGCGCAATTCTGGGCCAAGTGCTGGGGACCCGCGCCGTGCCAGGTCCCCGGGGACAGTGGTCAGGGAGGCAGTGCACCTGCCCTTGAGGAGCTCAGGGCAGGGGTGGAGGCGGGAGGGCACCAGGCGAAGTGCCCAGCGTGCTAGCTGCGCGCCTGCCTTGCTCGGTGCGCGTTTCCCGGGAATGTTACCATGTATGGACACACACATACTTCTCATGTCTTAGTAATTTTAGGAACTGTTCAGAATGCCTAGCAGAGCTAGCCCTGAACCGGGGGCGAAGACCTGGGTTCCGGGCCCGACTTTGGCACCGAGGGTGTGGCCTGGCCTCACTGTTCTGGTCTGTCCAATGGACACTTGCGTTCTATTGGCAGGACCCACAGAGACCGGGGTGGGATGGGGAGCAGGGAGCCCGGGAGGGGGGTGGGGGTTGTGCCTGGCTGCTAAGGAAATGGGTGGGGCCGAAGGTGGCCCCACGTGGGTTTGGTTCAGAGACCTGCTCCTCGGTCCTCAGGTCCCTGGCTAAGTGACCCAGCAGCAGCAGCAGCTGCAGGCCTGCCCGGCAGGCGACGGGAAAGATGCCAGGCTCCGTGCCTGCTGATGTTCCTTGCTTGAGGGAGGAGGAAGTAACCTGTTATGTTCCCCACAGCAGTTGGTGCTAAGGAAATTGCATCAGACTATAGGCTGCAAACCCTCTTCAGACCTTCAGGCTGCGGAGAAGTGTCTGCCCACAGGGCCGTGACTTCCTCCTCTGTTGTGGCTCGGGCCACCACTTGCTGCCTCCCGTGCCCAGTTGGCACCCATCCATCCAGAGCCGTCCCCAGGCACGGGCAGTGGCTGCCCTTGGTCTGACCCCGTCTCGGGGCACATCTTCTGGAACACGCAACTCTGCCCAGGGAATGTCACATGTCTGTGAATATAGCTCTTGGGGGACCCTGCACTCCTAAAATGGCACTTAAAGCAATTCAACAAATACTTATTGAGCATCTACTGTATACTTGGCACTGTTGTAAGTGTTGGGGATATAGCTACGAACAAGCCAGAAACGACTGGGGAGGCGTGTGTGGAGACAGACAACAAATGAAATGGGGCAACACGAGAGAGTGACTGGGAAGGGAACTGGTAGTCAGGGAAGGCTTCTTGGAGGAGGTGACCCGTGAGCGGCAGGAGGTGGCCACGGGAACATCTGGGGACAGAGCCTTCCAGGTAGGGGAAGGGAGCAGTGCAGGGAGAGGGAGGTGGCTGGTGACGGGGATGTTTTGCAGGGAGAGTTGCTTAGCTTACTGAAGGGTTGTGTGGGGAGGAGAGGATTTGAGGATGACCCTGAGGTTTTGGCCTGAGCCGTTGGGAGGACGGTGATGGTATTTACTGAGAAGAGGCATCATTGAGCACACTGCTGAGCCCTGCGGTTATGAATAATTGGTGCCATCCATTCTTCCCATCCGCCTGCAGGTTACAATCCCAGTGGCCTCGGACCCCTCCCTCTTCTTCCTCCACTCCCTCCTTCCCACTGTCCCCTTCCCCAGAAGCCAAGGGTGGGGAACCTTTTTTCTGCCAAGGGCCATTTGGATATTTGTAACATCATTCATGGGCCATACGAAGTTATCAACTTAAAAATTAGCCTGCTAGCCTTAGCCGGTTTGGCTCAGTGGGTAGAACGTCAGCCTGCGGACCAAAGGGTCCCCGGGGTTCGATTCCAGTCAAGGGCATGTACCTGGGTTGCAGGCTCCTCCCCGGCCCGGACCCTGGTCGGGGTGTGGGCAGGAGGCAACCAATCGATGTGTTTCTCTCACATCGATGTTTCTTTCCCTCTCTCTCCTACTCTCTCTGAAATCAATGGAAAAATATCCTCAGGTGAGGATTAAAAAAAATTAGCCTGCTATATTTAGTCAAACATTTAATTAACTCACCCCTAATGCCTTGGCAGGACCAGATCAAATGATTTCTTGAGCCTTACATGGCCTGCTCCCCCTCCTCCCCCCGCCATAAGTCCTGGGGCTGGGCTAGCATCTGTTCCCTCCTTCCCGTTCCCCCTGGGACTGGTCCTCTCTGAACTGGACCACAGCAGAGCCTCCCTTCAGGGCTTCCCTGCCTGAGTGCGCTGCCCCCCAGCCCAGCCCAGCCCCTCATGCTAGTGCTGCAGCCACACTGGACTGCTCTGTGACCCTTGGGCATCCCTTAACTGTCCTGCCTCTTTTTTTTTTTTTTTAATATATTTTATTGATTTTTTACAGAGAGGAAGGGAGAGAGACAGAGAGTCAGAAACACTGATGAGAGAGAAACATCGATCAGCTGCCTCCTGCACATCTCCCACTGGGGATATGCCCGCAACCCAGGCACATGCCCTTGACCGGAATCGAACCCGGGACCCTTCAGTCTGCAGGCCAACGCTCTATCCACTGAGCCAAACTGGTTTTGGCTGTCCTGCCTCTTTTTAAAAAATATATTTTATTAATTTCAGAGAGGAAGGGAGAAGGAGAGAGAGATATATAGAAACATCAATGATGAGAGAATCATTGATCGGCTTCCTCCTGCACACCCCTTCCTGGGGATCGATCCCACAACCCGGCATGTGCCCTTGACAGGAATCGAACCTGGAACCCTTCAGTCCACAGGCCGACGCTCTATCCACTGAGCCAAGCCGGCTAGGACTGTCCTGCCTCTTTTCCACGGTGCATGCTGATCTCCCTTCCTCCCTGTCCCTGACTGTTGGAGCCGCAGCTGGGCTTTTTTGAGTCCCCGGAGTGAAATACCACCTCTTCCTTTTCCTGACACTCCCTCCAAGCAGATGTGACCTTTCCCTCCTCCAAGCCCGCCACCCCCCCCTTGATTGCACCTCAGAACTTTCCTGTCCAGCCAGAGCTCACCTTCGTATGTTCTGTGTGGCACAGCGCCTTGCGCATAGTAGGCAGGCAGATAAGTTGGAATTAGCTGAAGCTAATTCCTTCTACCGGACCTTTTTTTAAAAAAATATATTTTACTGATTTTTTACAGAGAGGAAGGGAGAAGGATAGAGAGTTAGAAACATCGATGAGAGAGAAACATCCATCAGCTGCCTCCTGCACACCCCCTACTGGGGATGTGCCCGCAACCAAGGTGCATGCCCTTGGCCGGAATCGAACCTGGGACCCTTCAGTCCGCAGGCCGACGCTCTATCCACTGAGCCAAACCGGTTAGGGCAGACCTTTTTTTTTTTTTTTTTTTTTTTTTTTTTACAATATATTTTTATTGATTTCAGAGAGGAAGGGGGAGGGAGAGAGAGAGATGGAAACATCAATGATGAGAGAGAATCATTGATTGGCTACCTCCCGCATGCCCTCTACTGGGGATCGAGCCCGAAATCCTTGACCGGAATTGAACCCGGGACCCTTTGGTCTGCAAGCCGACACTCTATCCACTGAGCCAAACCAGCTAGGGCTTCCCACCAGACCTTTTACGAAAACCAGACAAACAGAAAAAGCAGATTAGGCTGAGGAGCCAGAAAAGGGATGGGCTCTCTGTCTGTCTTTGTCTCTGACACACACATACTCATATACACACACGCACACACACACACACATACACACTCTGCTCATACTCGCATACACATCCCCTCTCAGTAGGTGTCCTGTTCTCAGAAGGACGTCCGCAGCCTCTGCCCACCCCCCACCCCCATCCCAAGACCAAGAACTTTTCCACCCTTGGGTTTGTCAACCTCCCCCCCCCCCCCCCCCCAGTCCTTGTGGGCCCATCTCTCCCTGTTCTGCGCAGGCCCTGCACGTGGCTGTCCCGGGAGACACGGATGGTGTGCTGCCCCAGTTTCTCTTCCATCTTTGCTCCTCTAGAGGGTACACTGCCCTCCGTGCTCCCGAAGGGCGCCAGCCTGCCAGCCGTGCGACGGTGCCACTGTCATCTGGGTCCTCGGGTAGCAGCAGGGATGGGGGTATCCCCTGGCCACCGCCCGCCTCAGGCTGGGAGTAATATGCCCGTCGGCTTACGTAGTGCACCAAACCATTGCCCTCTTCACGATGCTTCAGCTCAGCATCACATTCCAGATCTACACCAGCTTCCGGTCCCACGCTCTCCTCCGTCGGCAGCTCATTCCCACAGGAGGAGCCTGGAGCATCCACTGATGTTCACCACTAGGAAGTTCCTATTTCAGTCTCCTACCTGGACACCATAGTCATATTCATTCTTATCATAAATTGTGTCATCTTTCCATCCATCCACCATCCATCCATCATCCATCCATCCATCCATCCATCCACCATCCATTTATCCATCCATCATCTATCCACCATCCATTCATCATCCATCCATCATCCTTTCATCCGTCCACCATCCATCCATCCACCCATCATCTATCCTTCCATTCACCCACCATCCATCCATTCATCCATCCATCATCCATCCATCCATCCATCCATCATCTATCCATCCACCATCCATCCATCTATCCATCCATCAATAATCTATCCTTTCATTGACCCACCATCCATCACCCATCATCCATCCATATGTCCATCCCCCACCCATTCTCCATCATCCATCCACCATCCATCTATTCATCCATATCTCTTTCCTCCCTTCCTGTCCCTCTCATTCCCTCCCTCATCCATTCATCAATTTTTACACCTTAATAGGGGTCCTCAGGCAGACTTTCAGCATCACCCTCATCCAGGTATCTTGAAAAAATGTGTATATTCCCATGCTCTGCCCCTGAAGCATTCTGCTTCTGCAAGTCTAGGGGAGAGCTGATACCCAGAGCCCACTCCCTTCCCGTGTGCTGGGGAGATGGCTCCCTGCACCTGTGGCCCATCTCCTTGGGAACTGTCCCCCTGCAGGCTGGATGGGTCGCTTTCCAATGGTGCCTGGCAGACATCCCAGGGCAGGTGCATGGAGTGAACCTCAGCAGGAGGTCCCTCAGTTCCTAGTAGGCGGCCGTGGGCTGTGGGGCCTGTGACTGAGAAGGGTATTTCCCAGGGGTCCCAGGGCCTTATGGCGAAGGTGATCCAAAGTCTGCATGTTGAGGGGTCTGGAGGGATCTCATCTGAGAAGCGGTGCTTTTGTGTTTTTGATTTTTAAAAAAATTCACCATAGCTAAGATCTGGAAACAGCCTAAGTGCCCATCAGTAGATGAATGGATTAGAAAACTGTGGTACATCTACACGATGGAATACTACGCTGCTATAAAAAAGAAGGAATTCTTACCATTTGCAACAGCATGGATGGAACTGGAGAGCATTATGCTAAGTGAAATAAGCCAGTCAATGAAGGAAAAATACCACATGATCGCACTCATTCATGGATAAGAAAGACAATTATAAACTTATGAACAATAATAGATACAGAGGCAGAGCTGCCTCGAACAGATTGTCAAACTATAGCGGGAAGGCCGGGAAGGGTTGGGGGGCAGGAGGGGAGGGTAAGAGATCAACCGAAGGACTTGTATGCATGCATATAAGCATAACCAATGGACCTAAGACACTGGGGGGTAGGGGAGGCCAGGGGATTGTCAAGGGCGGGAAAAAAAGGAGACATATGTAATACTCTTTGTAATACTTTAAGCAATAAAACAATTAAAAAAATTTTTTTATTGATTTCAAAGAGGAAGGGAGAGGGAGAGAGAGACAGAAACATCAATGACGGGAGAGGATCATTGATCGGCTGCCTATTGCACGCTCCCTACTGGGAATGGAGCCGGCAACCCGGGCATGTGCCCTGACCGGGAATCGAACCTGGGACCTCCTGGTTTATAGGTCGACGCTCAACCACTGAGTCATGCTATCCGGGCAGCAGTGGTGCTTTTGGCTGCCTCTAGGGCTGTTGAGGCTCTGGTGTGGCAGGCACTGGAGTGGGTCCGGCTGTGCTTCTTGTGGAACTGGAAACCCTGCTGGTCCCAGAGGTGTGAGGGGGAGAGTGCCTCGGTGGGACCCCTGGTGAGCTCCGGGGTGGGAGGGCTCAGAGTCCATTGAGATGGGTCCCCAAGCAGACAGGGCCTCTCCTGTTCATCCGCAGTGCCTGGCACGTAGGGGGTGCAGAATATATATATTTTTCCTCCATATGTTTTTATTTTCATTTGTTAATTTTTTTGTTAATCCTCACCTGAGGCTATTTTTCCATTGGTTTTTATTTATTTTATTATTTTTAAAAAATATATTTTTATTGATATCAGAGAGAGAAAGGGAGAGAGAGAGAGAGAGAGATGGAAATATCAATGAGGAGAGAGAATCATCAATCGGCCGCCTCCTGCACGCCCCCTACTGAGGATCCAAGCCTGCAACCTGGGCATGTGCCCTGACCGGGAATCGAACCTGGGACCCTTCAGTCTGCAGGCTGACGCTCTATCCACTGAGCCACACCGGCCAGGGCCCTCTGGTACCTTTGATTATACATGTGGCCTTGTCCTCTGGAAGGTGTTCATCACTGTGACTCCACATGGCTCCTGGGGCGCGGTCCCAGGGTTTCCCGCTGGCACTGAGGGGATAGGGGCTGGAGGAGCAGAGGCAGCAGCCGCTGGGACACATCCCCTGTGCAGGGATGGGTCGGGGGGGCGGCTGAAAAGAGAATGAGGAGCTGGTGGCTCTGGTCCCCCAAAGTCTCACAGGGGCAGGGGCAAGAGGGGCCACAGAGCCGCAAAGAAACGTCGCTCACACCACAGCACTTGGCAGAGGCAGGGCTGGGAGCGGCTGTATTCAACAGCCAGGAAATTCCCAGCACCAGCGTGTTTATTTTGCTACGTGACCACCTCCCTGTTCTGGTCCTTGCAGCTTCTGGACAATTGTAGGGGTTGCTGCCCTCATCCTGCTCCTGGTGGCCCTGTTGGCTCGAATCCTCGTCAAAAGAAAACCACCCCGGGACCCGCTGTTCTATGGTACGTCTGTCTCCTACCCCCCACCCCCCCGCCAGCAGGGGAGCTGCTATGTCCACTGAACAGCTCAGCAGGACGGCCTGGCCTCCGGCATTGTCCCTCCGTGGCTGTGAATACGCTGAGCCCGTGGGTAAAGTGGCAGGAAGTGGAAGAGTATTTCAGGGTGGCATGGCCTCTCCTCCAAGCTACCCCTCCCCCAGGCTGTGATCCACCCTCTCCCAGCGGGAAGCACAGCAACCAGCTGGTACCCAGTCCCGATTGGAGGTCAGAGCGCGATGGAGATTAGGGGAAAGGAGAGGAGGCTGTGCTTCCGCCTGGATCCCATCCATGGTGTTGGAAATGGCAGGATTTCCCTCATTTAAAAAAAAAAAATATTTTTTATTGAATTTTTACAGAGAGGAAGGGAGAGGGCTAGAGAGTTAGAAACATCATGAGAGAGAGGCATCGATCAGCTGCCTCTGCACACCTCCTACTGGGGATGTGTCCGCAACCAAGTACATGCCCTTGACCGGAATCGAATCTGGGACCTTTCAGTCCGCAGGCCGACGCTCTATCCACTGAGCCAAACCGGTTAGGGCTTCCTTCATTTATATGGCCAAAGAATATCAGGTGCTTTTTTTTTTTGTTGTTGGTTTTGTTTTTTTAATCCTCACTTGAGGATATTTTTCCCTTGAATTTTAGAGAGAGTGGAAGAGAGGAAAAGACAGAGAGAAATATCGATGTGAGAGAAACACATCGATTGGTTGCCTCCTGCACAAGCCCTGACCAGGGCCCGGGCCGGAGAGGAGCCTGCAACTGAGATAGTGCCCTTGACCGGAATCGAACCCGGGACCTTTTGGTTCGCAGGCCGACGTTCTATCCACTGAGTCAAACCAGTTGGGGCAAGAATACCCATTTTATACAGTATATAATATAAACACACACATGGTCCAGTCCTTTGTTGCCCGACATTTAGGTTGTTTCCTTGCTGTGGCTATAAATGTTTCTTTTCCTTGTCCGTGGGTCTGCAGGTTGGTTGGGTGGCTCTGCTTCAGGCTGTGGGTGGGACTCAGGGCTGTCCCATGGGTCTCCCTGCTCCTGGGCCAGCAGCTCCCCAGGGTGTGCCTTTAAAAAAAAAAAAAAAAATATATATATATATATATATATATTTTTTATTGATTTCAGAGAGGAAGGGAGAGGGAGAGAGAGAGATAGAAACATCAATGATGGGAGAGAATCATTAATCGGCTGCCTCCTGCACACCCCACACTGGGGATCGAGCCCGCAACCCGGGCATGTGCCCTGATCGGGAATCAAACCGTGACCTCCTGGTTCATAGGTCGACGCTCAACCACTGAGCCATGCCAGGGCACTGCCCTGTCCTCTTAAAACCATTGTCCCTTGCACATCAGCCACTGTCCATCTCTAGATCTCCAGTGCGGTGTCGGGCAGACACGCTAGACCCGTGGTCGGCAAACCGCGGCTTGCGAGGGACATGCGACTCTTTGTCCCCTTGAGTGTGGCTCTTCCACAAAATACCACGTGCGGGTGCGCACGTACAGTGCAATTGAAACTTCGTGGCCCATGCGCAGAAGTCGGTATTTTGCGGAAGAGCCGCACTCAAGGGGCCAAAGAGCCGCATGTGCCTCGCGAGCCGCGGTTTGCCGACCACTGCGCTAGACACGTGGGGAGTTGGCCTGTTCGGTAATTAACTCTTCTAAGTCATTACTTTAAACCTGGCGGTCATCTCTACGCTGTGGCCACTGGTTACAGGGTTTGTCCAGCTGGGTGCCGGTGTGGCCCTGGGCATCCGCTGGTAGGGAGTCGGGGAGGCGACAGAGTTAGGGGCTGAGTTTGTCATTCTTACCCCCTGGCGTGTGTCCCCTCGGTGAGCGCACGTGGGCAGCGATGTCAGACCCACGACACGGGCGGAGATCCCGCTGCGTGTGCCGGAGGGATGTCCTGTTGGCCCGTGTGGACAGCGTCCACGGGACCTTCTGGAAAACATTAAAACGGTCCGTTGTTGCTGGCGGATGCCAGCTCCTGGCATCGCCTCGGGGCTGCTCTGTGTACACCGCTGCTCTCTCCCCAGTGTACGCCGTGTTCGGCTTTACCAGCGTGGTGAACCTCATCATAGGCCTGGAGCAGGACGGAGTCATCGACGGGTTCATGACGCACTACCTGCGAGAGGTATGGCCCCGCTTCGCGGTCTGAGCCTTAAGCCCCAGGGCCAGCCCCCCACCCACCCGGCCTCCTTCACTTACATTTAATGGAAAAGACGAACTTTAAATGAATTGAGAATTTGTGTAATATTATTAAAATATCACTACATCTGAAAGCCCAAGTTAGTCTTACGCGTATAGAGTACATCAACGGTGAGAGATAATCATCGTCCCATACACCAAGTTCATAGGTCGATGCTTAATCACTGAGCCACGCCAGCCGGGCGACAGTAAGCATTTAAAAAAAAATCCCCATCCAAGGATATGGCTTTTTATTATTTATTTACTTATTATTATTATTTTAAATATATTTTATTGATTTTTTTTTTTTTTTTTTTTTTTTTTTTTTTTTTACAGAGAGGAAGGGAGAGGGATAGAGAGTTAGAAACATCGATGAGAGAGAAACACCGATCAGCTGCCTTCTCCACACCCCCTACTGGGGATGTGCCCACAACCAAAGTACATGCCCTTGACCTGAATCGAACCTGGGACCCTTCAGTCCGCAGGCCGACGCTCTATCCACTGAGCCAAACCGGTTAGGGCTACTTACTATTTTTTAATCCTCACTCGAGGATATTTTCCCATTGATTTTTAGGGAAAGTGGAAGAGAGAGGAAAAGACAGAGAAACATTGATGTGAGAGAAACACATCGATTAGTTACCTATTGGTTGCCTCCTGCATGAGCCCCGACCAGGGCCTGGGCCGGGGAGGATCTTGCAACCGAGGTAAAGGCCCTTGACTGGAATCGAACCCGGGACCTTTCGGTCCACAGGCCGATGCCCTAGCCACTGAGCCAAACCAGCTAGGGCTAAAGTTGTACTTTCCCCTTCCTGCCGATTTCGTAACTTTATGAGATGCAGCGTCGTTTCACTTGAGCAGACTTGCACACATCAGGTCTGTTGTGTTTTACGCGAGGTGCAGGCCTGGTGTTCTGCGCGGTGTCTGAGCCCCATGTAAAGCGGACCCCTCTCCATGCTTCCCTCAGGGTGAACCGTATCTGAACACGGCGTATGGGCACATGGTCTGCTACTGGGACGGCTCCGCCCATTACCTGATGTACCTGGTGATGGTGGCGGCCATCGCATGGGAGTAAGTCACTTCGCCAGGGTGTGTGTCTCCGCCGCCTTAGCGACCGACCCGCGGGTAGGTGAGGGGAACACAGAGGCGAGTGGACAGACAGGTGTCCCCGGACTGAAGGCTGCTCCTTGGAGATGAGTCAGACCCGGCGTTCTGCCCTCCCCGGCCCTTTGCACCCGGCTCTCCGGGTTACCTCTGCCGAGGTGATGGCTCGGGCAGGCCCTTAACTTCCTGATTGATTTTGTTCTCTTATGAGAACACTGTTTTTCAGGAATTTAAGCCCAACACATTTTTTTTTAATTGATTTCAGAGAGGAAGGGAGAGGGAGAGAGAGAAACATCAATGATGAGAATCATTGATCGGCTGCCTCCTGCACATCCTCTACTGGGGATCGAGCCTGCAACCTGGGCATGTGCCCTTGACTGGAATCGAACCCGGGACCCTTCAGTCCGCAGGCTGACGCTCTGTCCACTGAGCCACACCGGCTTGGGCATGCCCAGCACATTCTAACGCAAAGCTTCAGCCTCACGCCAGTTCAAGCTGCCTTTCCCCCGTCCAGGTGTGGGCCTGAGGCGTAGGGGCCTGTCTTTCCATTCCTTCTCAGTCAGCCTGCCCTGGATTCTCTGAGGTATGTAAACGGGGTTAAAGGAAGAGGGGCAGGGTCTTCAATGACACAATCTCCTGGGGATTGGCCCTGCTTTAGGATATGCTGGGTCTGCTGGGGGCACACACGTGGGCTCTCTGGACACCCCTGCACAGGACGCTCTGCTTTGCACCGATCCCTGCAGTGAGTGAGTTTGTGACTCCCCTGCCCACGGGGGTGCACCACAGCTTCTCTCCGCTGGGGTCCCTTAGCCCAGGACAGTCAAGTCCAGCCACCTTCCCAGACCTCCCGTGGCTGCAGGTGAGGGAAAGCCATGCATTCTTCTCTCTCTCTCTCTTTTTTTTAATCACCCAAGGATATTTTCCCGTTGATTTTTAGAGAGAGTGGAAGAGAGAGGGAAAGACAGAGAAATATCGATGTGAGAGAAACACATTGATTGGTTGCCTCCTGCACGAGCCCCGGCCAGGACCCAGGCCGGGGAGGAGCCTACAACCTGGGCATGTGCCCTTGACGGGAATCGAACCTGGGACCCTTCGGTCCGCAGGCCGATGGTCTATCCACTCAGCCACAATGGCTAGGGACACGCATTCTGTACAAGGCTGAAGTTCAGCTGGACCAAATGCATGCCCTGCTTGTGCGTGCACCCCCACCCCCCAATCGTGAACTCAAGGACAGCTCCAGCTAATTTTTGGACTTTTCTAGGCACCAGCCTCCCCTTCCCAAGCTCTAGGGAACACGTCCCGTATTTCTGAGGCTGCCCGTGCTCTGCGTGGACGCTGTCAGAAGTGGGCCAGAGTTTCTGCAGCTCTGTTAGCGCCCACAGGGGGAGAGGGCTCTTGCCTGTCCTATTGACAGGCCCAGTCACTGAACAGACCTGCCTGGAGGGATCTCTGGGTCTGGCTTGGGGGTGGGGGCGGGGCAGGAAGCACACAGTTCAGAAGGGAACCCCTCTGTTCCCGGCTAAGACTCCCCTTTGGAGTGTCTTGGAGCCCCTTATGGAGTGGGTTATGGGGATATCGGTTGAAAGATCTGTTTGTCAACATCGCCTATTAAGAAGATTAGGGGTATATATCACTTTTTTAAAATATATATTTTTAATTGATTTTTAGAGAAAGAGGAAGGGTGAGGGATAGAGAGGTAGAAATATCCATGAGAGGGGAGCATCATCGATGGGCTGCCTCCTGCACGCCCCCCACTGGGGATCAAGCCCGAAACCCAGGCATGTGCTCTGACCAGAATCGAACTGGTCACCTCCTGGTTCCTGGGTCGACGCTCAACCACTGAGCTACACCGGCTGGGCTATATATCACTTACTATCTTTACCTTTAAGGGCTTTGGCCAAAATTCTGTGACACCAGGGAAAGTCCACTTCACACCCATTACTCGTACTTCCAATGGTTTGGGAAGTGGGTCCACTTTCCATCCTTTTTTGAGCCGCCTTTTCCGTTTCGTACCTAAGAGTGAAACACAGGCCGCCTTTCGCAGTGACGAGGGTGTTGTGGTCTACAGGTTAGGGTCGCAGTGTAGTTCCTATTCCAAAGGACAGAGCCCTGGCCGGTTTGGCTCAGTGGATAGAGTGTCGGCCCTCGGACTGAAGGGTCCCGGGTTCGATTCCAGTCAAGGGCACGTACCTTGGTTGCAGGTTCCCTGGCCCCGGGCCCTGGTGGGGGTGTGTGCAGGAGGCAACCAATCGATGTGTCTCTCTCACATCAATGTTTCTCTCTGTCTCTCCTCTTCCCTTCCACTCTCTCTAAAAATCAATGGAAAAATATCCTCGGGTGAGGATTAGCAAAAAACCCCAAAAACAAACAAACCCAAAATGAAATAACAAAAAGGTACAGAGAGGATTCTGTGGTTTGTCACACGAGGAAATGGAGGGTGAGCACCAGGGTTCCCTGTGTCTGGGGTTTCCATCCAGGTACTTTGTTAGTGAGGATAAAGGTAACACTGGCTCGTCTTCGGCAGATGGCATGCTAAGCCAAGGTCTTTTCGTTGCAGGGAAAGTTATAGAAACATTGGGCTGTACTGGGTCGGATCGATTATGATGAGCATGATTGTTTTTGTGCCAGGAAACATTGTAGGTAAGAAACTTGATCTTGAAATTCACTTTCCTTTTCTGAAACAATGGGGATTGTTTTTAAAGAGAGATGCTATTTTGGTTGTCACAGCACCAAGACATTCCGAGCTCACCAAAAAGCTGTTTTGTGGAATGACTCCTTCCCCCCCACCCCTTAATCTTACCTTGAAAATGCTTTTGAGCAGTTTTCAGAAATGTACATTGAACAACGAGGCAATTTTAAAAAAATATCTTTATTGATTTCAGAGAGGAAGGGAGAGGGAGAGATAGAAACATCAATGATGAGAGAGAATCATTGATTGACTGCCTCTTGCTCATCCACCTACTAGGGATTGAATCCGAAACCTGGGCATGTGCCCTTGACTGGAATTGAACCCAGGACCCTTCAGTCCCCAGGCTGACGCTCTATCCACTGAGCCAAACTGGCTAGGGCAATTTTTAAAAAATATATTTTTATTGATTTCAGAGAGGAAGGGAGAGGGAGAGAGAGAGAGAAACATCAATGATGAGAGAGAATCATTGATTGGCTGCCTCCTGCACACCCCCTACTGGGAATCGAGCCCACAACCCATGCATGTGTTTTTGACCGGAATTGAACCTGGGGCCCTTCAGTCCACAGGCCAACAGTCTATCCACTGAGCCAAGCCAGCTAGGGCACAATCAAACAATTTAATATCAGTGATGCCTGACTTTGAGAGGGGTTTGGAGGGGTTAAGTATTGTGTTTGTGGCTACATGCAGTGTGCCAATACTTCTTAAAACTTTTGTGGTGTGCAGGGTGGGACAGAAGTAGTTGATAGTACATGAAACAGAGTCTATTCTTGTATGATTATTTATTAATTACTGTGTTATTTTGCATACCAAAAGCTGTAAACCTACTTTTTCCCCTGCCCTGTATATAACTCTGCCACACTGTGGGAACTCAATAAATGTCCTTGAAAATGAAATACTCTTTCAGGCTTATGTAAATGAGCTTATTTATGCATGCGAGAAATCAGGATATTCCACATATACCTTAAAAATACTGTAGGCGGCAGTGGATAGAGCATCAGCCTGCGGACTGAAGTGTCCCAGGTTCAATTCCGGTCAAGGGCACATGCCAGGGTTGTGGGCTCCATCCCCAGTAGGGGGCGTGCAGGAGGCAGCTAATCAATGATTCTCTTTCATCATTGAGTTTCTCTCTCTCTCTCTCCCCTTCCCTTCCTCTCTGAAATCAATAAAAATATATTACAAAAAAATACTGTAGCCAGGACATACCTGCTAAACACCTAAGTTTTGAGTTGATCTGGTTTTTCTGGTTAAAAGTATTGTCTGGTTCATAGCGAAATTTTAGGTGGCTGGAGATAGGAGGTATCCTAAATGTTCCTTGTGTTTCTAGATGCTTTTGGTAACCTTCTGGCTCTCCCTTTCTCTCTTGTCAATAGGGAAGTTCGGAACACGTGTTTGCCCTGCTTTCATCTTAAGCATACCGTACACATGTCTTCCTGTCTGGGCCGGCTTCAGAATCTATAACCAGCCGTCGGAATATTGTCATTACCCGTCCAAGGTGATTTTTATTAAGTCACGTGTAACCTGTCTGCACACTGGCAGGGCGCACCCGCATCCACGGGCCACTGAGCCGTGTGCCTCCGGGGACTGGAGCTTTTGGGGACCGTGATCCATCGGCGTGACTGTGTCGGTTCTGCAGTGTCTGTCACGCCTTAGCTCTGGTGGCCAAGACTGTCTGTCCGACGGCGCCTGCTTCCGGGGCCAGTGGTCCCCTGGGCTGCTCCCCTCACATTCTGCATGAGTTCTGTGTGGGGTTGGTCTGGGGCTGTCTGTGGCCTGGAGTTTGAGCACCTGGGCATCTCTTCAGAGATACCTGTGCCTTTACGGCCCTGCGGGGAGGCTGGAGGGATACTGCGTTCGAGTTAGCACACACAGCCATAGGGTCCAATTACTAAGAGATCCAGGCACATGGATACCAGCTACAGGATGCCTTCTTTTTCTTTCTTTAATCCTCACTTGAGGATATTTTTCCCCATTGATTGATTTTTAGGGAGAGTGGAAGGGAGAGGGAGAGACAGAGAGAAACACTGATGTGGAAGAGACACATTGATGGGTTGCCTCCCACATGCCCCTGACCAGGGCCAAGAGCCTGCAACCGAGGTACGTGCCCTTGACCGGAATCGAACCCAGGAGCCTTCAGTCTGCAGGCTGACGCTCTATCCACTGAGCCAAACTGGCCAGGGCTACCAGGATGCCTTCTGAGATAGCTCCCTTATTTCCAGCCAGGTGTCCAGATGCAACAGTACTGGCTGGGCAGAGACTCTGTTAAGATCTTTATTTCTAAGCTAGTGACATCTCCCTAAGTTTCTCTTCCTTTTATAGATCCTTAAGATCCCTTAAGCTAGCGGTTCTCAACCTGTGGGTCGCGAACAATGAAAATATATCCTGCATATCAGATATTTACATTACGATTCATAACAGTAGCAAAATGACAGTTATGAAGTAGCAATGAAAATAATTTTATGGTTGGGGGTCACCACAACATGAGGAAGTGTATTAAAGGGTCGCAGCATTGGGAAGGTTGAAAACCACTGCAGGCTTAAGCAAAACTGACATATGAAAAGATGCATTACTAGAGATAATCAGAACATGATTATTCATTTGACAACAAGATTTACAAGGGAATTCATTAAAATGCATTTTAATTTGCAAACATTTCATTTGTTCACATTCAGACACCTGTCATGTAGACTGAGGTTGGCACACTGACAACTGGAACCCCTTACATCCTTTTTAAAAAAATTTTAAAGTTTTTTTAAAAATATATTTTTATTGATTTCAGGGAGAGGGGGGGGGAGAGAGAGAGAGACATCAGTGATGAGAGAGAATCATTGATCAGCTGCTTGCTGCACACCCCCTACTGGGGATTGACCCGGGCATGTGCCCTGACTGGGTCTCGAACTTGGGGCCCTTCAGTCCGCAGGCCGACGCTCTATCCACTGAGCCAAACCAGCTAGGGCGCCCCTTACATCCTTTTGAGGAATGAGGTGGTTGTTAAAAAACAGTCCCCACAGCCTTGGCCCTCCCTCTGGTGCATTTGAAGGCTCCATGCCAATGCGTCAGCAGTGATCATCAGACACATGACTGTTATTATTTAAAAAAAAAGTTAAAACACAGAGTCAGCCGGGGAGAAGTAGACATTGTCATGTAATGCTGACAGGAACATAAATTCAGCACCGCTCTGCAAAGCAGTCTGGCTATGTTCTCAGCCTTAACGAACGGAGCCCTGTAGCCCAGTCGTTCTGGCTGCCAAACTCCTGTATTCAAGGTGCTCACCGCCCCCTCAGGTGTAACAGTTGACATGCCTCAACGACCAACAAGTCAAATACGGTGCTTCCATGGGGCATTAAGTGTTTAAAGGAATTTTACTAACGCGGGGAAGTGCTTACCGTTAGGTAGATGTTGAGAGTCGAAAGAACAAACACAAAATTGTCGATACATGAAGTCCTAATTTTGTGAAAAATAAAGCAACTCTTAGTGTGGTGGGTTTATGGTTTATGTATTTTATTTTTATTTATTTAAAAAAAATATTTTTATTGATTTCAGAGAGGAAGGGAGAGGGAGAGAAAGATAAAAATATCAAGGATGAGAGAGAATCGTTGACTGGCCGCCTCCTGCACGCCCCACACTGGGGATCGAGCTCACACCCAGGTGCTCTTGACCGGAATCACACCCGGGACCCTTCAGTCCACAGGCCGACGCTCTATCCACTGAGCCAAACCGGCTCGGGCGATTTATGGTTTATTTTAGAAATGGGTATGCCTTATATTTATAATCACACAAAAGAAAGCTATTTCAAGAAAAAATATGGAACCAATGGACACAAGACACTAGGGGCTAGGGGAGGCCCGGGGAATGTCAAGGGGGGGCAGGGAAAGGAGACATATGTAATACTTTTTGTAATACTTCAAGAAATAAAAATTATTATTATTATTTTTTTAAATATATTTTATTGATTTTTTACAGAGAGGAAGAGAGAGAGATAGAGAGTTAGAAACATCGATGAGAGAGAAACATCGATCAGCTGCCTCCTGCACATCCCCCACTGGGGAAGTGCCCGCAACCCAGGCACATGCCCTTGACCGGAACCGAATCCGGGACCCTTCAGTCCGAAGGCCGACGCTCCATCCACTGAACCAAACCGGCTTCGGCAAGAAATAAAAATTATTATTAAAAAAAGAAAAAATATGGAACCAGAGCTAGAAGGGCCCTTTGAGGTCACATGGCCCCATTTGCTCATTTCACAGATGAGGAAACTGAGTCTTGAAGGGGAAAATGATTTTCCTAAAGTTTCACGGCTGGGGGTTATGCTAGGATTTTCCTAAAGTTTCACGGCTGGGGGTTATGCTAGGATTTTCCTAAAGTTTCACGGCTGGGGGTTATGCTAGGATTTTCCTAAAGTTACACGGCTGGGGGTTATGCTATGATTTCCTAAAGTTTCACGGCTGGGGGTTATGCTATGATTTCCTAAAGTTACACGGCTGGGGGTTATGCTAGGATTTCCTAAAGTTTCACGGCTGGGGGTTATGCTATGATTTCCTAAAGTTTCACGGCTGGGGGTTATGCTAGGATTTTCCTAAAGTTTCACGGCTGGGGGTTATGCTAGGATTTTCCTAAAGTTTCACGGCTGGGGGTTATGCTAGGATTTCCTAAAGTTTCACGGCTGGGGGTTATGCTAGGATTTCCTAAAGTTACACGGCTGGGGGTTATGCTAGGATTTTCCTAAAGTTACACGGCTGGGGGTTATGCTAGGATTTCCTAAAGTTACACGGCTGGGGGTTATGCTATGAATGGGGAATCTCCAGCCTCTCTCGTCACCACCGCCACCCTTGTCTCAGTGGGTCTCCGGTCTCCTCCGGCCCCAGACCTGCTCAGCAGTTACAAACTCTGTTTTAGGTCGTTCAAGAAGTCCAAGCAAAGGACCTGCTGAGAAGACCATTTGACTTCCTGTTGGTCATCTGCCTCCTCCTGGCAACTGGATTTAGCCTGTTTAGAGGCTTGGTAAGCAGAACTGATCACAGTGACATATATACCAGACTTCCTAGTGCACTGACCAGATATTCCTCCCATTAGGTCCTGGAGGGCGGGGCCTGCTTCCTGCTGCTCACCTGCCAGGGTCAACCCCAAACCTCCTCTCTCCAGGGGCCGGGCCCATTCTGGGCTGCTTTGTGCCACCTCCTTCTGGTCCTTAGATCAAGCTCTACCCAGAAGTATCTTCCCTCCAACCTAGCTGGTTTGGCTCAGTGGATGGAGTGTCGACCTGCAGACTGAAAGGTCACAGGTTCGATTCCCGTCAAGGGCACATGCCTGGGTTGTGGGCTCGATCCCCAGTAGGAGGTGTGCAGGAGGCAGCCGATCCATGATTCTGATCATTGATGTTTCTATCTCTCCCTTCCTCTCTAAAATCAATAAAAGTATATTTTAAAAAAAGAAATGTCCTTAAAAAAAAAGAAGCATCTCCCCTCCCTTATTAAAGGGCACCTGAAAAAGTAGTCTCACTATTTTGGTTCCGTTGATGTTTCTGATTTAAGTATCTTGGGAACAGGTGGTAACTTAAGACTGCAATAAACACTGCTGGCCTAGGCCAGTGGTCGGCAAACTCATTAGTCAACAGAGCCGAATATCAACAGGACAACGATGGAAATTTCTTTTGAGAGCCAAATTTTCTAAACTTAAACTATACAGGTAGGTACATTGTTATTAACTTAATTAGGGTCCTCCTAAGGCTTAGGAAGATCCACACTCAAGGGGCCAAAGAGCCGCATGTGGCTCGCGAGCCGCAGTTTGCCGACCACGGGCCTAGAGCATCCAGGTGTTCTCAGGAGTAGGGCGGTGGGATTGAGGAAGGGTTCCCGGAGTAAGGCGTTAGCATCCTTGCCACGTAAGTACATCTGTGGCTGTGAGGCCTTGGAACAAAGGCTTACCCTCTTGGACCCTTGGCGTCTTTATAAAATAACAGAAGCTAGCTGACGGTATTGTTTTGAAGATTTAATAGTGAACATCGATACATGTAGAGGGACTGATACATAGTAGCTGTTCAATAAAGGTCTACTTATTTTTAAATATTTTTTCATTGATTTCAGAGAGGAAGGGAGAGGGAGAGGGAGAGATAGGAACATCAATGATGAGAGAGAATCATGGATCGGCTGCCTCCTGCATGCCCCCTAGTGGGGATCAAACCCGCAACTTGGACACATGCCCTTGACTGGAATCGAACCTAGGACCCTTCAGGCCGCAGGCCGATGCTCTATCCACTGAGCCAAACCAGCCAGGGCTGTTTATTTATTAAGGATCCTTCACAACGTCCCAGTTTCATGAGTTCTTCTTAGCAGCCAGAGTTACGCGGTCAGTTATATTCAGCTTCCATGGTGATAGCCTGTTGCCATTGCACAGCTGCTGGGATGCAGAGCGGCAAGTGTAAGCTGAGGTAGTAGGTTAGTTGTTTTGGGGTCAGCTGGCAGGGTTCAAGGGGAGCAGCTCTCTTAAGATGTGGGTGGTTGCAAACTGCCTGGAGGAGAGCTGGCCACTAGGAGAGACTCAGGGGAGGGAAGTAAAGGAGAAAGCCAGGCCGTGGGCTTTGCTCAGACCACAGAGCCGTGAAACTGTCCTTTGGTTAGTTTGCTGTAATGCCCACAGTTAAAAGGACAGCAACAAGCCCTCGCCGGTTTGGCTCAGTGGGTAGAGTGTCGGCCTTCGGACTGAAGGGTCCTGGTTTTGATTCCGGTCAAGGGCACATGCCTGGGTTGTGGGCTGGATCCCCAATAGGGGGCATGCAGGAGGCAGCTGATCAATGATTCTCTCTCATCGATATTTCTCTCTCCCTCTCTGAAATAATAATAATAAAAAAGGACTGCAACAAAATTAGCGCCACCTGTCACCTTGCACAGCTGTACCCACTTCCCTGTGTGTGTGTGCATGTGTGTGTGTGTGCGCACACGCTTGGTGTGTGGGGCTGTTAGGTTGGGAGTCCTTTCACCGACTCTGCCCCTGACCCGGGTTCATGTGTGTTGTCTGGGTGGGACATGACGGATGACAGCTCAGGGAGGTGACTGAGAGGGGACCCAGTAACATGCCAAAGAGACACTTGGCTCTTCTGTGGCCTCGAGTCTACTGTGTTGGGACTAAACCTGCTCTGCTCTCAGAGGGGATGCTGGAGGGACGCAGGAGGTTGCTTCTGATGAGGACCCTGCTTCCAAATCCTTGTTCTTTTTTTTTTTTTCTTCCAGTTTTTGTGTTTTTATTTCAATGGTCCTTTTTTCATTCATTCATTCATTCATTCATTCATTCATTCATTATGTTAATCCTCACCCAAGGACATTTTTCCATTAATTTTTAGAAAGAGTGAAGGGGGAGAGACACAGAGAGAGAAACATTGATGTGAGAGAGACACATTGATTGGCTGCCTATTGCACGGGGGTTGAGTCTGCAACTGAGATACGTGCCCTTGATGGAATCGAACCTGGGACCTTCAGTCCATGGGCCGGTGCTCTATCCACTGAACCAAACCGACCAGGGCACAGATCCTTGTTCTTCACTGGCCCCCGAAGGCCATGCACTCTGTGAGGCACTGGATAGAGGAGGTTATTTTTGTTGTTGTTAATCCTCACCTGAGGGGATATTTTTCCATTGATCTTTTAGAGAGAGTGGAAGAGAGAGGCAGAGACAGAGAGAAACATCTATGTGAGAGAAACACATTGATTGGTTGCCTCCTGCAGTGCCCCGACCAGGGCCTGGGCCGGGGAGGAGCCTGCAACCAAGGTACGTGCTCTTGACTGGAATCAAACCCGGGACCCTTTGGTCTGCAGGCCGATGCTCTATCCATTGAGCCAAACCAACTCGGGCTTAAACCCTTGTTCTTCACTGGTCCCCGAAGGCCATGCACGCCGTGAGGCACTGGACAGAGGCGGCTGTTTCTGAATCTTATAAAGCATAGTAAGATGAACCTGGTACGGAAAGGCAGGGGGCGGAGGCCAGCTCTTCCCTGGAGAAGCAGGCCGTGCGTGCTCTGCTGGCGGGACCTGGAACTTAACCCGAGTCCTCAAAAGGCAGCCGGGAGCAGAGCGTTAGCTCCAGTTCCTGCTCCCGTTTGCTTCCTCTGCTCCCGGGGCACCTGCAGGGTACCTTCCCCTTTCACTGGGAGCTTCTCCCACACGTAGTTTTTGTTACAGAGCAAAGCTGTTTGTCACTAAAGCTGGCGCATTTGGCCTCATCAGCCAACAGAAGAGCCAGCTGTGACTGCATCTTTTTTAAAAATACGTTTTTATTGATTTCAGAGAGGAAGGGAGAGGGATAGAGAGAAAAATGAATGATGAGAGAGAATCATTGATCAGCTACCGTGGGATCAAGCCTACAACCTGGGCATGTGCCCCGACTGGGAATTGAACCTGGGACCTTCAGGCTGCAGGCTGATGCTCTATCCACTGAGCCAAACCAGCGAGGGCTGTGACTGCATCGTGATAACGAATTCATTTCCGTTCCCAGATTGCTCTGGATTGCCCAGCCGATTTCTGCCGATTTTATACCCAGTTTCAAGAGCCCTACCTGAAGGACCCTGCCGCTTATCCCAAGATCCAGGTCAAGTAGTGACGGAGCCTAAGGCTTTTCTGTCTTCGCTCTGGGAGAATGGGAACATGTGGTTCCGCCTGGGAAGCGGGAATGAACATGCTCACCTTTGCGAGGGTCCGTGGTCTGTGCTCTTCCTCGGGCCAGGCCGGCCGGTGTGTGATGACATTTCTCTGTTGGCACAGATGCTGGTGTACCTGTTCTATTCTGTCCCTTACTTCGTGGTGGCGCTTTACGGACTGGTGGTGCCCGGGTGCTCCTGGATGGCTGACGTCACCCTGATTCACGCGGGAGGCCTCGCGCAGGTACCTGAGAACGCGCTCTGCTGTGAACGCTGACTGGGCATGTGGCTGTCCTGGTTGAGGATCCCATACACCTCTGCTCAGTGTTTTAGGGTAGGAAACACTAGGTGGACATGTCTCCTTTGTTTTTGTGCTTTTTTTAAAAATAGATTTTTAAAAAATATATATTTTATTGATTTTTTACAGAGTGGAAGGGAGAGGGATAGAGAGTTAGAAACATCGATGAGAGAGGAACATCGATCAGCTGCCTCCTGCACACCCCCTCCTGGGGATGTGCCCACAACCAAGGTACATTCCCTTGACCGGAATTGAACCTGGGACCTCTCAGTCTGCAGGTCGACGTTCTATCCACTGAGCCAAACCGGTCAGGGCTTAAAATAGATTTTTATTGATTTCAGAGAGGAAGGGAGAGGGGGAGAGATAGAAACATTAATGATGAGAGCATCATTGACCGGCTGCCTCCTGCTCGCCCTCTACTGGGGATCGAGCCCGCAACCGGGGCATGTGCCCTTGACTGGAATCGAACCCGGGACCCTTCAGTCCGCAGGCAGACGCTCTATCCCAGCGGTTCTCAACCTGTGGGTCACAACCCCTTTGGTGGCCGGACGGCCCTTTCACAGGGGTCGCCTAAGACCATCCTGCATATCAGATATTTACATGATGATTTATCACAGTAGCAACATGACAGTTATGAAGTAGCCACGAAAATAATTTTATGGCTGGGTCACAACACGAGGAACTGTATTTAAAGGGCCAGAAGGTTGAGAACCACTGCTCGATAGAGCCAAACTGGGGCCCCTTTGTTTTGTGGTTCCTCAGAAGACGTTTCTGCTGACCTATTTTACTTAAGTCTCGCAGTGACCACCTGGCAGGTGCTCCATCAGTTACACAGACGAGGCCCAGCGAGGTTGTGGGGTTTGTCCACCGCCACAGAGGCAGCAGGTGGCCCCGTTGTTTACAGTGCCATTTGCCAGTCTCTCAACACCACGGCCACCAAAGAGAACTGAGAGCTGTTAACTTTAAGATGTCATTCTAAATTTGAGATTTTGGAATTCCACTGTACTATCCTAGACAGAACCAGAGGGACTAGTTTTATTTATTTTTTCTTGATTTCAGAGAGGAAGGGAGAGGGAGAGAGAGAGATAGAAACATCAATGATGAGAGAGAATCATTGACTGGCTGCCTCCTGCACACCCCCTACTGGGGATCGAGCCTGCAACCTGGGCATGTGCCCTTGACCGGGAATCGAACCGTGACCTCCTGGTTCATAGGTCCATGCTCAACCACTGAGCCAGGCCGTCAGGGCCAGAGGGGCTCATTTTAAAGGGTCTGCTCCTGGGAAGCAGAACCTGTCATTCTGCTCCTCCCCCTGCTGTCAGCCCCGCCCCGGGCTCCAGTAGGTGCTCACTGAACTGCGAACGGAACTAGCTATGGAATGACTTCATCACACAAAGTGCATTTTTACGCAATAACAACCAGCCAAACAACTGGCTCTTATGAGCAAGGAAGAAAATGAAGTCATTGTACCTTTTATTTTCTTACTGTCGGTAAAAGAGCCAAATGAACTTACCTTTTAAAATGATCGTCTTCATCTTGCTCTTTTCAAGCAAGCTTAAGAATGAGGTTCCCGCCGAACCGTTTGGCTCAGTGGATAGAGCGTCGGCCTGCGGACTCAAGGGTCCCGGGTTCGATTCCGGTCAAGGGCATGTACCCTGGTTGCGGGCACATCCCCAGTGGGGGGCGTGCAGGAGGCAGCTGATCGATCTCTCTCATTGATGTTTCTAACTCTCTATCCCTCTCCCTTCTTCTCTGTAAAAAATCAATAAAATATATTAAAAAAAAGAAAAAAAGAATGAGGTTCCTCCAGAAACTCTAGGCCAGTGGTTCTCAACCTTCTGGCCCTTTAAATACAGTTCCTCATGTTGTGACCCAACCATAAAATTATTTTCGTGGCTACTTCATAACTGTCATGTTGCTGTTATGAATCGTCATGTAAATATCTGATATGCAGGCTGGTCTTAGGCGGGTCTCAACCCACAGGTTGAGAACTGCTGCTCTAGGCTTAGCCAGTTAATTGGATCACAGCCAAGTCACTATGATGGCAACAAGACTACTAGAATTTACAGGGTTGGAAAGGCGACTTCCCATCCAAGGTACTTTGTAGGAGCTTAACTCGTGGTATAATTCTTCACACCTCCTATTCCCTCCCCTTTTACATCTAGCCAATCATTAGGTCTGCTTAGCGCTGTCTCAAGAGTAATTCTCGAACCCAACACCTCTTCTTTTTATTCCCTAATCCTCATCCGAGGATATATTTTCATTGATTTTTAGGGAGAGTGGGAGAGAGAGGGAAAGACAGACAGAAACATCGACATGAAAAACACATCCATTGGTTGCCTCCTGCACAAACCCTGCCCAGGGTCCGGGCGAGGGGTGGGGGTGGGGAGGCGCTGCAACCGAGGTCCGTGCCCTTGACTGGAATGGAACCTGGGACCCTTCGGCCGGCCAACGCCCTATCCACTGAGCCAGGCCAGCTAGGGTGCGATTACTGTTTTTATTGTCAGACGTTCCAGTAAGAGTCTGGAGGGGAAATGCCTTGTGTGACCCTGGAGGTTCATTTACTGATCTGCAGCGGTGAATATTGTGTCTCTTTCCCTAAAACTCGTGAACCAGGAAAAAGTTTTGGGACAGCCTCACAATGGGTTTGGCAGGGAGCCCGGCGTGCCATCCAGTTAACACACTCAGGGCCACGGGAGCAGGAACGGATCCAGGCAGCCAGGCCACGCCCTTCCCACCGGGGCCTTGGGACTCCCATTCCCTGGCCAGGCAGATGCCTTGCCCTTCCTCACCAACGGGTCTGGAGGCTGCTCCGTGGAGACTTTGATTGTAAAGAGTTGACTCTACTGGAGGTGAATTGTAAAGGGTGTCCCAAAATTCACGCAAGAAGTAATCTTGATAGAAAACACAGGTTTATAATTAAAAATTGTAAATTTTTTGATTCATAAAGTATACAGTATAGGGTTATGTATGGAATAGCATATCGGGTAAATGGCCTCCACGGCACAAAAAACTGGATTATCATGTCGCAGTAGCGAGCACCATTAACTGTTATTTCCTGAGCAGCGCATTTCGGTCATGGAAAATTTCAACAAAAGAGTGCATATGTGCCAGCAAAGCCGTGGAGGCCACTTACCCGATACGCTATTCCATACATAACCCTATACTGTATACTTTATGAATCAATAAAAAATTTACAATTTTTAATGATAAATCTGTGTTTTCTATTAAGATTACTTCTTGCGTGAATTTTGGGACACCCTTTATAAGCTTTTTCCTTTATGGAAACCTGTAAGAAACACCTCACAAATGATCAGGTGAGACGCTCAGCCTCACATCTCCGCATTTTGGAGAAATGCTTTGTGGAAGCTTTAAGGGTTTTGACAGTTGCGAGACCAGGACTGTAGAACGTTTATTGAGCTCTCACAATGCGACGGGTGCCACACGGAACATGAGACACAGGACCTGCCCAGCGGGCTTACGCTCTAAGGACATGACTGTTTCCTGCTGCCGCTGGGAGCGTGCTGTTGGGGACAGTGAGGTATTAGCCGCACTGTTGGTGCAGGAGAGGAGCCGACGGCCTCGCCTCCTGCGGGTTTCCCTCCGCAGCTGGGCATGACCCCTCGTATTACCCATGCTCTCCACGATGGTTGGCACGTCCCCAATTTGGTGATCTTTGTGGCGCGTACAGTGCAAGCGTCTATAAAGACAGAGACACCAAACCCGTGTTTCAGAAAATCAGGGTTTGAATCTGGCCTCAGGTACAGAAGACAAAGTTTGGTTATGTATTCAGACAGTTACTGAAAACAGGCTCTTGGGAAACACAGTGCCGGGGGCCGAGCTCCGGTTCCGGGTCCCAGAATGTCCACAGCAGCGGCCCCGCGCATGCCCTGGGCTCTCAGGGTCTCCTGGCTTCAGAGCCCAGAGATGAATGAAACCCAGCTGACCACTTGCTGGGTTCGGCCTGGAGTCTGCCGCTGGGGAGGTGTGTGTGGGGGGCAGAGCTCTCTCAGAGCCTCACGGGTCACAATGCAGGGGTGTCCTTGACAGAAGGAAAGTTGAACCAGAGGCCCCCCCAGAATGTAGCGGGAATTCGTGATGACGTCCCTGATACAGACCCATACGCACGCTGCTGAAGGAAGCTGGTCTGTTTCTTATGCATGAGGTCTAGGGCTCAGTAACACCTTTATCTGTTAGCCACTGGGCAGAAGAAACAGATTTCGTAGGGAAGGAAAGAGAAGACAACGTATGTGTATTTAAAGCAGGTTAGTTTTTCACTGTCGCTTCCGTGCCTTCTTTCGAGTGTAACGTCTTTTGTCTCTTCGCTTTGATCCTGATGAATCATCCACCGCTTACTACATTCAGATCCCCAGCTCTTTATCCACGTGCACCTTGCATTTCAGTGAGATATGAAACTGAAATGCAGACTCCACGACTGCCTTTTGTAATGATACCGGGATCCCGAGGAAATCTCGCAGAAGCCTTTTTCTAACAGTTTTCCCCTGTTCTTATGAAAAGCATCAACAAAAGACGGCCCAGCACATTCTGCTGTGTGTTCTGAACAAGCACAGGGGTACAAGCGGGAAGTGCTGGCCTTTCCATTCTGTACAATTGGATTTGAAAAGGTCGCCTGCGCGTACCCCGGCCATTTTACAGAGCGCACCCCTACCCCTACCCCACCCCATGCTGGTAACAACCCCAGCTCGCAAAACAAACCTTGGCGTTTTTTAAGTTGCACAAGAAACAAATACAGGAATAAATAAACCAGCAAAAAAATACATAATCAAGGGCTTGAGCTTTTTGCTCTAGGGATAAAAGACTGATACAGGAAACCGAGGTCCCCAGTGCTGCTTTTTAAATAGTTATGTCAAAAATCTTTTTGGTTTCTCAATTCCGTATTTTCTTCTTCTTTTTTTTTTTTGGTTAATCCTCACTTGAGGATATTTTCCCATTGATTTTTAGAGAGAGGGAGAGAAAGAGAGAAACATCAATATGAGAGAGACACATCGATGGGTTGCCTCCTGCACGCACCCCGACCAGGGCGGGGGAACCTGCAAGCAAGGTACGTGCCCTTGACCGGAATCGAACCCAGGACTCTTCAGTCCGTGGGCTGACGCTCTATCCACTGAGCCAAACCGGCCAGGGCTGTACTTTCTTCATTTTTATGCGAACACATTTTGTGAGCCATGACCGAGTCTCATGATAGGATCCTCAGAATGCAAATCAGAAAGCAAAAAGAAGTCACCTGAGATTTTATTCCGATTTTTTCTGTTACACTGACCTACTGATGTTTGTTAGCGATGGGGCCCTAGGTGGGTCATACAACAGCTGGTATGCTAAAGCCACGCTAAAGAAGGTACACTTTATTTGAACAGTTCCGTCCAGACCAGCCCTACATTCAGTGACATATTCAAGACTACGGATTGGTCAAAAGCACTAGTCCTTTAGGGCATAGAGCAGGGGTGGGCAAACTTTTTGACTCGAGGGCCACAATGGGTTCTTAAACTGGACCGGAGGGCCGGAACAAAAGCATGGATGGAGTGTTTGTGTGAACCAATATAAATTCAAAGTAAACATCATGACATAAAAGGGTACGGTCTTTTTTTTCAATAGTTTTATTCATTTCAAACGGGCCAGATCCGGCCCGTGGGCCGTAGTTTGCCCACGGCTGGCATAGAGACATGGTCTGAAGGAATGAGTCAGAACTCGTCGGGCATCCAGCTGGTCACAAAATTCATGCTTCCCCCTTTTCTTTCACGCCACAGGCTCAGTTTTCTCACATCGGTGCTTCCCTTCACGCGAGAACCGCTTACATCCACAGGGTCCCCGAGGAAGCAAAGATCCTCTTTCTAGCGTTCAACATAGCCTATGGAGCCCTTCCTCAGCTCCTGGCCTATCGCTGCGTCTACAAGCCGGAGTTCTTCCTCAAAGCAAAGGCAGAGGAGAAGGCTGAATGAAAACATGACTTCCTGTGGCCCTTGTCGAGATGGCGGGATTTTGATTCCCTGGTCCTGGGGTTTCGTCTCATTCCACTCCCTTCCCCTACACCAACACTGTTCTGCACTGAGTATGTGAGCTATCTGTGGGACTGCGTGGGTCAATTTCTTTTTTCTTTTTATTTTTTTTGAAGGAAAGCTGAAGTTGTTGAGAGAAACAGTTTGTTTAAAGAAATTTATTCAAAAATTTATTGTGAGAAAACTTGACCGTCTCAATGTTCTGTTTGCGCATACGGAGTGTATGTGTGAAAAATAACTATTTAGCTCCTAACAACAGTGAGCATGGAAACAAAACTACTCAAAAGTGAATATGCTTTATGCGTATTAAAAATTCAAAAAAGCAAATTGAGATTGGAGAAATATTTTTGCATATAAGATGTCTATGCTTCATTATCAACATCAATATATAAAAGGCAAGTTACCAGCGTATTTTACAATGCTACTTGACAAATGTTTTCCCAGGGGAAGTATATTATTTACTGTTGTTTTAACAACTGCTTTTACTAAAATGTTTTGGTGAGTTTAAACAGCTAAGGAGGGATCGATAACTTTATTATTATCCTTAATGGAATACTTGTTTAACTGGTGAAAGGAGAGATTTCTATTGTATTTCTGTGTATATTTTTAATAAAATTATTTTTGACCTTTTATGATGACAAATCTTATTTAATGTGAAACATTTTTTTCATACGGTTTTGTAGTTTATTTTAAAAATCTGTCATTTATATGTTCCAATTTAAAATGCCACCTACATTCTCCTTATGCCTTAGTGTCAGCAATGAAGAGGTCGTGTGATGAATCAAACTTCATTAATTTTAAACTCAATTAAAATACTCAAAATTAAAAAGACCTTTAAAGAAAAAGAACTGGATTGTCATTTCTACTCTCTTTTCTTTTTTTTTTAATCCTCACCGGAGGATATTTTTCCTTTGATTTTTAGAGAGAGAAACATTGAAATGAGAGAGACACATTGATTGGTTGCCTCCTGCATGCCCTGACCAGGGCTGGGGAGGAGCCTGCAACCAAGGTATGTGCCCTTAACAGGAATCGAACCCGGGACCCTTCCGTCTGCAGGCCAACACCCTATCCACTGAGCCAAACCAGTGAGGGCATTTCCTACTATCTTTTAATGAACGTTCACATGTGGAACTGTGAGTGAGAACAGTATGAGAAAGAAAAGTATTTGCTGAATGAGAGAACCCACAGCACAGCTGCCTCCTCAGAGCCCGAGGTGGGCAGGCGGGGATTTCTGAGCCTCGGCTGCCATGGTCACCATCACCATCACCATCACCATCACCATCACCATCACCATCACCATCATGAATGGCCCTGGGCCAGTGGTCAGCAAACTCATTAGTCAACAGAGCCAAATATCAACAGTACGACGATTGAAATTTCTTTTGAGATCCAAATTTTTTAAACTGAAACTATATAGGTAGGTACATTATTATTAACTTAATTAGAGTCCTCCTAAGCTGGCCTTTCTAAAAACGTCCCCAATCTGAGGGTCGACCTCAGCGAACGTACCCCCACTTCTTCAAAATAGACTTGCCTAGGCCGAAAACTGACTTCTGCGCATGGGCCACAAAGTTTCAATCGCCCTGTACGTGCGCGCCGGCACGTGGTATTTTGTGGAAGAGCCACACTCAAGGGGCCAGAGAGCCGCATGTGGCTCGCGAGCCGCGGTTTGCCGACCACTGCCCTGGGCCTTTACAGCTTCTCCCATTCTGTCTTCGTGTCATTTATTAGCTCTTCGCCAGAATAAGAAAAGTAGAAGAAAACAGGGTCCAAGAAAAAGCCAGATGAGGTCAAGTGTCTGAGCTTAGGGCCCAGTGAGCTGGTAAATATCTTAGATGTTAAGCAACCACAGGCCATTCCTTCCCCTCCCCCCAGTGTTTACAAAAAAACCCCTACAGCCCGGAGAGAGTATGAAAATAAGACCTCACCTGCACTGGTTCTACTGCCAACTTGCTGTCAACAAACTTCGCTTTAATATGGGAATCACATCAATACCTCACATTACATTTATGAAGCCAAGTTACACCAACGTAGTGGTTTACAACCTCAAACCTTACTCCCAGGACACATTCCAATAAATTTATTCTGTAAAAACAATACATTTTTTTTCTTTTTCTTTTTTTTTTTTTTTTTTTTTTTACAGTAAACTTTTCAACTACAAACCTCGAGTACGCGAAATATGTTTCAAAGACAAGCATAACAGGATTTTGAGGAAACCCAAACTGACTAAATGTGTCCTCACAATATAGGCTGGCATAAAAATAAATAAAACTCTCTATGATCACACAATAGCAACGCGAATGTACACATAAGAATGGTGTGTGGATGGAGAGCAGCTATTCTAATTCTAGTCCCGAAAGAAAACAAGTTCTTTTAAAAAGTCTGTATTTAAAAGTCGATGCTCTGTCTGGTTTCCCATAGGGCTGCTGCGGATGTCCGGCTTCAAAATGTCAAGCTCCCACCTCTGGTGGCCCGCTCGAATGGTCTTGGCAGTGGGGGAAAGAAAGTGTTGCCTCTATTTTGGGGTTAACACAAAAAGACGCACTGACCTCACATACAGAAACTGGGTGTGTGTACCTAACAGCGTGAGTCTGGAGAAGTAGAAGTTGTCAATGGGCTATTTCTAATACGGAATAGATATCTTACAATACGGTTAACCTTTACACCTGGCCTCGAAGATGAAGAACCGTTTTCGTTTCATCTTCAACATGCCAGCCTTTACGTATCTAGGAACTGGCTCCCGGGTCCTGTCACCCAGAGGAGATACGTATCAGGTTTGAGTGGTCATTTTAAAGAAATGCACATGTATATTGAACTGAGTGTGCGGTGGAGGCGGAGTGAGGCAGGAGGCTCCAGAACGTCGCTGCCTTGATCAAAGGATCCTAGACGTGTGTAAGTCTGTGCAGACATCTTGATAACCCTCAGTGGTGAAGGGCAGCTTCATGCAACCAAGTAACAAGAAATCATATCAGTAACTTTAAAAAAGGCTAAAATGTCTTTTTTTTTTTTTTTTTCCTTTCTTTCTCTAAACACAAACAGAGAGGAATGTGAATCAAGGACATACAAACTGGGTTCAGTCAATGACAACAAGGACCGTGTGGGTTCGTAGCAAATCCGAGATCAGGAGACAACCAAGCGCGCAACCTTCCTGTGGCTTCTCAAATACGCAGCGTTCACCACGGTGGTTAGGTCTGTAAGAGAAGAGAGAAGACGAGCCTTTAGGAGACGGAGGACATCAGCAACAGAAGCTTCTGCACCGACGGAGCGTACAGCTGGGCCTGGCACTGACCGCACTTAGCAAGCACAGCCCGGGGTTCTGCTTCATACCCGTCAGTGCAAAAAGCCAAAGGAACGACTAGGGTTTTGGTTTTTGTTTTTTAAAAATATATTTTTATTGATTTCAGGGAGGAAGGGAGAGGGAGAGACGGAAGCATCAATGATGAGAGAGAATCATGGATCGGCTGCCTCCTGCACGCCCCCTACCGGGGATCGAGCCCACAGCCCAGGCACGTGCCCTGACGGGCATCGAACCGTGACCTCCTGGTTCCTAAGTCGATGCTCAATCAATGAGCCACAAAACATTTTTTTTTAAAAAGGCAAACTGCTTTAAAATTTAAAAAGCATTGGGAGTGTATGCAAATTATTCTGTATAATATTTACAACTTAATTTCTTTGACAACGGGCTTGTCGAAAAACTAGAGTTGGCAAAATCAAGGTGGACAGAAGGAAAGTCCCACTTTCTTTCAGAATTCGGGTGGCACGCGTGACAAAGAGGAGTCTCCGGGTGGGGCCCACTTTAAACTGTGCCAGGCCCCACGTCCCCACAGGGATCCTGTCTTTGTTTTCTCCATCATTGACCCAAAAATACCAAAGCCCCTAGTACGCTCTCATATGGGCCGAGTGAAAGAGGGAACCCAGGCCCCAAATGTTTATTCTAAAACAGCCTGCTGCAGGCCTTCACTTCACCGAGTAGAGGGATGTTTGGAAGCACGCAAGGCTCACGCGTGGGAGTGTTTTCACGCTCAGACCCAGTATCCACACGGAACTGTACGTGACGCCGTACGTGAGTCATGCCAGAGCCTTCGAAGAGGAAGCTGCTGAACCCGGCATCCCCTCGAGCGGCAGAAATACACTTCTCAGCCTCTGTTTCTACCAAATTGGGAAAGCCCGTCTTAAAACCAACCAACCAACAAACCCCGTTTAAAATCTGTGATCCAGCCGAAACCGGTTTGGCTCAGTGGATAGAGCGCCGGCCTGTGGACTGAAAGGTCCCAGGTTCGATTCCGGTCAAGGGCATGTACCTGGGTTGTGGGCACATCCCCAGTGGGGGGTGTGCAGGAGGCGGCTGATCGATGTTTCTCTCTCATCGATGTTTCTAACTATCTCTCTCCCTTCCTCTCTGTAAAAAATCAATAAAATATATTAAAAAAAAAAAAAATCTGTGATTCAGCCCAGCTGGTGTGGCCCAGTGGTTGAGCATCGACCTATGAACCAGGAGGTCATGGGTCGATTCCCGGTCAGGGCACATGTCCAGGTTGCGGGCTCCATCCCCAGTGGGGCGTGCAGGAGGCAGCCGATCAATGATTCTCTCATCATTGATGTTTCTATCTTTCTCTCCCTCTCCCTTCTTCTTTCTGAAATCAATAAAAATATATTTTAAAAAATAAAATAAACAAAATCTGTGGCCTGCCCTCGCTGGTTTGGCTCAGTGGACGGAAGGGTCCCGGGTTCAATTCCGGTCAAGGGCACCTACCTAGGTTGCAGGCTCCTCCCCGGCCTGGGCCCTGGTCAGGGCACATGCAGGAGGCAACTAATCGATGTGTTTCTCTCACATCGATATTTCTGCCTGTCTTTCCCTCTCTCTAAAATCAACAGAAAAATATCCTCAGGTGAGGATTAAATAAATAAATAAAATCTGTGAACTAACTTGCAAAATGCAATGCCTGATGACTCCACACTATTCCCAAATAAAAGCACGAGATACAAGATTATACTCACAGCCTTTGAAGGCTTTCCCTCCCTTGTGAAGGAGGAAGACACCCATTTAAACAATAAAAAAAAACCCTGTTAACCAACCACAGAAACTTCTTTAGTAATGTCTTTTTAAAAAAATTAATGTGAAAGGCAGTAGTTCCTATGCCCACATTGGTAGGAAATTCACAGCAACAACCAAGCAATCCATATTGAAGAATCGCTCAGAACAGATGGTCCCACGGCAGCCGCACGGCAGCCTCAATAAATCATTCCTGCCCCACACCCAGTGAAGGCGGCACCAAAATGTGACCATCACTTTAATGACATGCTTTTTTTTGGGGGGGGCGGGGGGGGCTGTCTTTAAACAAGGTAGCAGGTGGGACACAAGGAAATCGAATGTGCCAGGTACTCAAGCCTTTATTCAGTGAGGCTACAGGCAAAGGGAACAACAGAGGACCAAGTAGTGGAGAGAGGTGTGGAGAATAAAGACAGGCAGGGGCGGAGCTGAGCTGAGGTGGACGAGAGAAACCAAGGAACAGCTAGAACCCTACCCACGGGGAATTACGGGAACTGGATGGAGGAGGGACAGAGCTGAGCGGTAAACAGTACAAACAAGAACAGGCAAGAGCTAAGCTGGCACCAGAATTTAACTAACA